GGGGCACAGTAGTGAGCAAGACCCTGTCCCCCAGGGACTCACATTCTCATGGAAGAAATGGACAATGAGCCATCACTGAAAAGCATAGAATAATGTCTGAGGCCAAGGAGGAAGATATGAGGCAGAGAAGCAGGGAAGTTGTGGAAGTTTGAAGTATTAGAATGGCAAGGAAGGCTTCAGGATGGCTTTCAGTGGCCAGCAGCAGGGTAAGCCCTGCTAGATTTGATGCCCAACCCAGGCAAGATTTCTGTTGTGGAAGAATTTGTATTCCTCTGGGGAACATATATAAATAAGTGAAATAAGTGATAAGGTAGAGGTGCACATAAGAAGTATGAAAGACGCCTGCCTGGCAAGCGCAAGGTCGTGAGTTCGGTTCCCGGCACCGGAGAAAAACCAAAACCAAAAAAAAAAAAAAAAAAAGAAGTATGAAAGAAAATTAATAGTGAAAAAAGGAGTGCAGAGAAGGAGGTCTGCAATATGGACATCTGGGGAGGAGCACACCAAGCAGCAGGAGCAGCAAGTGCAAACAGGAGGCTGAGATGGTGCCTGCTGTGTGGAGCAACCACGGGGAGGCCATTGTGTCTGCAGCTGAGTGAGCCAGTGAGTGAGGAGTTAGAAGAGATGCGGAGGTCACAGAGTGATAGGGGACCAGGCAGATGGGGGCTTATGGGTCATGGTGAGGATTTTGATTTTAACTGGAGTGAGGTATAGTCAGGGGAGGGGTGAGTTGGGAGGGCCCTGATCTGCCTCAGTGGTGCACAAGTTCCCTCTAGATGCAAGCAGAAACAGAGTGGGGGTAGGGCCAAGATCGGGAGACCTGGAAAGAGGCTACTGTGACATCCGTGTGGAAGGGAATGGAGGATGGACCAGTATGTTAGCTTTCTGTCACTATAACTGAAATTACTAACTTACAAAGAGTAAAGACCTGTTTATTATTGCACTGGGGATCAAATCCAAGGGTGCTCTGCCACTGAGCTACATTCCCGGCCTCATCTATCTGTCTCTATCTATCTATCTGTTTTCAAACACAGGGTCTCACTGTGTCAGTTCAGGCTGACCTTGAACTATGTAGCCCACATAGGCCTTGAAATCACGGTGCTCCTCCTGCCTCAGCTCCTGAATGCTGAGATTATAGGCATGTGCCATTATACCTGGCTTATTTTGAGACAGGATCTTACTAAGTTGCCCAATTTGCAATCCTCCTGCCTCAGCCTTCTGAGTAACTGGGATTACAGGCATGCACTACCATGCTTGGCCAAGAAAAAGTTTATTTTGGTTCACAGTTTTGGGGGTTTCAGTCCATAACTAATTGACTGTCACTTTGGACCTATGCTGAGGCAGCACATGATGGCAGAGCATATGATAAAATAGAAAATACTTGCCTCATGACCATGGGGACAAAAAACAAAGTGAGGTCTTTAATCCCCTTTGAGAGCCTGCCCCTAATCACCCAAAGACCTCTCACTAGGCCCCACCTCTTAAATGTTCCACCACTTCCCAATAGCACCACCCTGGGGCCAGGCTTTTAACACATGAGCCTTTAGGGGACATTCAAAATCCAAACTGCAGCAGCCACAACTAAGGCAGTTGAGCGGGTAAAGAGTTAGATTCTGGATCGATGTTGTAGGTGGAACTGACAGGGTTTGCTGACAATTGAATGGGGGTATGAAGAAAAGAGGGGTCAAGGGCAACCTGGGTATCCATCCTGAGCCACAGAAGACACTGACTGAAATGGGAAAGAGGGAGCAAGTTTGGGGTAAGGTTGGCAAACACATGTGATTTCCGGGTATGATCAGTTCTAGGTCAGAGGTATTGAATAGTCATTGCTTCCATTGCCACCCTACATTGCCCACCCAGAAATTGCCAGCCCAAGATCAAGGCTCCTGGCCTCCTTCTCCTTCCCGCTTCCAGGTCCATGGAGCTGGAGTCAGTGGGGCTGGGTGGGGCGGCAGCCTTCCGAGAGGTTCGTGTGCAGTCAGTGGTGGTGGAATTCCTGCTCACACACGTGGAGGTCCTGTTCAGTGACACCTTCACCTCTGCTGGCCTTGACCCTGCAGGTGTGCCCATCCCACCCTGACATCCTGGCTACTGACCCCTCAACGTCAGGGTTGCAGTGGGAGGGCAGGTGGGCTCCCAGCCCTATCCCTACCCAGTGAAGCTGGACCTCCCTCCTGGCCCCTTAAGACCAGTGCCCAGGCCCATCCCTCCCCGCGCCCCCACTCCTTCTCATTTCAGCTCCTACGCTCAGGATCCCCACTTCTTGGCCAGGACGCCGTTCTTCTTTCACCCCTTATAGATCCTGGGGACACTTGGGGCCATGGGTCCACCTGGGAGGAGGTGGGAGGTCCCCAGATTTGACCCCATCCTGGCCCTGCCCAGACTCCCTGCCCTGCCCCGGACCCCAGCCCAGTCAGGATTCAGCTCGTCGGAGGGCCCTCTGGCCCGAGGTAACTGACCAGAGCCACTGCCCTTGCTGGCTGCTGGGAGCTGCCTCCTCATCAGCTCATTCTGCCTCACCCCTCCTCACCTGCCTGCTGCCCCCATTCCCGCCTGATCTACCCTGGCCCCCTGCCTTGCCAGCCCGGGTGGGCATGCTGCGGGGCCGGGGCTTGGGCTGTGGCGCTTGGCTTTGCCTGTGGCCTTGAGTGGCCCCAGAGCTGATAGCCTCCCTGCTTTTCACCTCCCCAGGCCGCTGCCTTCTCCCCAGGCCCAAGTCTCTTGCCGGCAGCGGCCCCTCTACTCGCCTGCTGACACTGGAAGAAGCCCAGGCTCGTACCCAGGGCCGGCTGGGGACACCCACTGAGCCCACAGCTCTCAAGGCTGCAGCCTCGCCTGTGGAAAGGTGAGTAGGTTGCGGGAGGTGTGGACAGAGGGAAGTCCTGATTCCTTAGCCTGCTTCCTATTTCTCATCCAAACTGTAGGAGGAAAAGGGAAAGAGGGGAGAAACAGCGGAAGCCAGGGGGAAGCAGCTGGAAGACCTTCTTTGCTCTTGGCCGGGGCCCCAGTATCCCCCGGAAGAAGCCTCTACCCTGGCTGGGGGGCTCCCGAGCACCACCACAGCCTTCAGGTCAGAGGCCATGCAGTCAGCATGGATGAGGGGTGTTTGTCTGTGGCAGGCCTTCCTACACTGTCCTACCTCTCCTTGCAGGCAACCGACCTGACACAGTCACACTGAGATCTGCCAAGAGCGAAGAGTCTCTATCATCACAAGCCAGTGGAGCTGGTGAGCACAGGGTGGCCTTACCTGTGTCCAAGTGGAGGTGGGAGGAACCGGGGCCTGGGTTTTACTTCCAAACATTGTATTTCAGACTTGCGAGATCTCAGGGATTTATAATTTTTAATTTGAACTTTTACAGTGAGTTAAAGTCTCACCTTTGGTCTATTATACACTACTCATTGGTCCATGTGGACCAATTTTAAAATTTTAGTCTTTTCTATATTTATTTTGAAGAATAAAATTAAATAATTCCCTAGGTACACTAGAAGAGCCCCAATACCTCACCTGAGAACTCACCCTTCCCCAGAGGAATTCTCTAAATTTGACGATCATTCCTTGCTTAGGAGGTTTTATCACATACAAGCATATGTGTAAATAACATATTATTCAATTCTGGTTGCTTTTGAAACTACAGATCATCATAAAAAAGAAGTTATCATGCATGTGTAGACCTGACTTGCCCTTACAACTCCATTGTAAAGTACCATGCATGGGGGCTGGGGATTTAGCTCAGCCGCACAGCGCCTGCCTGGCAAGCTCAAGGTCATGAGTTTGATTCCTGGTACCAGAGAAAAAACAACAACAAAAAACCCAACAAAAAAAAGTACCATGCATGTTGCTGAGTGTGGCTCAGCCTCATTCCATTGCTTTCCAGTCTGTGTGAATATCTCACCCTACTCCAGTCCCTGAGCAATCCCTGCCAAACCCACACTCCTGGCAGACTGTGCTGCCACATAGCCAGGAGCAGAGGTGCTGTCCTGTAGGATCTGCACATGTGCACCTTACAGAACAAGTGTCAGTTGTTTTCCCTGAGGGGTTGTACTGGACTCCCAGCAGCCAGCTGTGAGACCATGGTGTCGTGCTTACAACCTGTGGGGCTCCAGGTTCTTTTTTTTTTTTGTACCGGGAATCGATCCAGACTCATTCTTGCTTTGGGTCTGGAATGTTTCTCTTCATGGTCCTGCCTTATCACCTGCAAACCTAAATAGCTCTTCCCAGATTCACAGCCTCGGTGGTCTTCCCTAGGGAAGTGCCTCCTTATGTTCTCTCCCTGCCTTTTTATTGAGCTGTGTCCTGTTCTCACTAATGTGTGAGTATGTGGAGTTTGGACCCCTGATCCCTAAATGCTCCTTACCCCTCTTCCAGGCCTCCAGAGGCTACACAGGCTCCGGCGACCCCACTCCAGCAGCGATGCTTTCCCCGTGGGCCCAGCACCTGCTGGCTCCTGCGAGAGCCTGTCTTCCTCCTCCTCTTCTTCCTCGTCCTCAACCTCCTCTTCATCGTCATCATCTGAGTCCTCAGCAGCTGGGCTGGGGCAACTCTCTGGGTCCCCCTCACACCGCACCTCAGCCTGGCTAGATGATGGTGATGAACTGGACTTCAGCCCACCCCGCTGCCTGGAGGGACTCCGGGGCCTTGACTTTGATCCCCTTACCTTTCGCTGCAGCAGCCCCACCCCAGGGGACCCTGCACCTCCTGCAAGCCCAGCACCCCCAGCCCCTGCCTCTGCCTTCCCACCCAGGGCAACCCCGAAGGCTCCCTCACCCCGAGGACCCACCAGCCCTGCTTCGTCCACTGCCCTGGACATCTCAGAGCCCCTGGCTGTGTCTGTGCCACCTGCTGTCCTAGAACTGCTGGGGGCTGGAGGGACACCTGCCTCTGTCACTCCAACACCGGCTCTCAGCCCTGGCCCCGGCCTGCGTCCCCATCTCATCCCCCTGCTGCTGCATGGATCTGAGGCCCAGCTGAGTGACACCTGCCAACAAGAGATGGGCAGCAAGCTGGCACTGCCTGGCCCTGGGGGAACCCAAGGCCAGCATGTCGAGTCCTGCTCAGCCCACCCCACACTCTCACAGACCCTGAAGTTGCCCCAGGACCCACCAGATCCTCTTCCTGTTCCTTTCTGTGTAGGTCCTGGTATGGATTCACCGTTGCTGCCCCCACCCCTGTCCCTTCTACGCCCTGGTGGGGCCCCACCCCCACCCCCCAAGAACCCAGCACGCCTCATGGCCCTGGCCCTGGCTGAGCGGGCTCAGCAAGTGGCCGAGCGACAGAGCCAGCAGGAGCATGCAAGCGCCTCAGCTACTCCGCACTCCCCTTTCCGCCGCTCACTGTCCCTGGAGGTGGGTGGGGAACCCGTGGTCACTTCAGGGAGTGGGCCACCCCCTCACTCCCTAGCTCACCCTGGTGCCTGGGCCCCGGGACCCCCATCCTACCTACCAAGGCAACAAAGTGATGGGAGCCTGGTGAGGAGCCAGCGGCCTGTGGGGACCTCAAGGAGGGGACTCAGAGGCCCTGCCCAGGTCAGTGCCCAGCTTAGGGCTGGTGGGGGCTGCAGGGATGCCCCAGAAATGGCAGCCCAGTCCCCATGTTCTGTCCCCTCACAGGTTCCTACCCCTGGCGTCTTCTCCCAAGCCCCCCGGGAGTGCCTGCCACCCTTCCTTGGAGTCCCCAAACCAGGCTTGTACCCTCTCGGCCCCCCATCCTTTCAGCCCAGCTCCCCAGCCCAAATCTGGAGGAATTCCCTGGGCCCCCCTGCACCTCTTGACAGGGGCGAGAACCTGTATTATGAGATTGGGACAAGTGAGGGTTCCCCCTACTCTGGCCCCACTCGGTCCTGGAGTCCCTTTCGCTCCATGCCCCCTGATAGGCTCAATGCCTCATATGGCATGCTTGGCCAGTCACCACCACTTCACAGGTCTCCTGACTTCCTGCTCGGCTACCCACCACCCCCCTCCTGCTTTCCGCCTGACCATCTTGGCTATTCAGCCCCGCAGCACCCTGCCCGGCGCCCTACACGGCCTGAGCCCCTCTATGTCAACCTAGCCCTAGGGCCCAGGGATCCCTCACCTGCCTCTTCCTGCTCCTCTTCCCCTCCTGCCCATCCCAGAAGTCGTTCAGATCCTGGTCCCCCGGCTCCCCGTCTCCCCCAGAAGCAGCGGGTACCCTGGGGCTCCCATACCCCTCACAGGGTACCAAGACCGTGGGGCCCCCCTGACCCTCTCTTGCTCTACAGGGGATCCCCACCAGCCTATGGGAGGGGGGGTGAGCATTACCGAGGGTCTTTGTACAGAAATGGGGGTCAGAGGGGGGAGGGGGCTGGTCCCCCACCTCCTTACCCCACTCCCAGTTGGTCCCTCTACTCTGAGGGCCAGACCCGAAGCTACTGTTGAGCTGGAGCTGAGAAGGGCATTCTTCCCTTCCTTTTGTCCTCACTGGATCTTGGCCTGACCCCATCTCTTGTTTTGTATTTTCTTGAGTCCCCAACCCCTCCTCCAGGTTTCTAACTTTGTAACTTGCTTCTGTTCCCTAATCTAAAATCATAATGTCCCTTCCCTTGGCTAAAGGGTATGCCCACCCCTCTACTGTCCTTCCTGGGGGCCCTTGCACAAATCTAAGGGAGGACTAGGCTGATGCCCTGTCCTTCCTCTCCCTCTAGAGGCACCCAGCCTGTCCTGACCTGTGCACAGGGGGTGGGAGAACAGCTCCTACCCATCTCTCGCCATGTACCCCGCTAAACCATCTGACAAATTAATGAATAAAAATGGTGAAAATGTGGTTGCTGGTGTCATGCTGGGGCCAGACTCAGCGAACAAAGAGACAGATGGGTTGCTTTGTCATTTTCTTTCCAGTGGGCAGTCAGTCCCTCCTGGAAGGCTCCAGGTAACAATATCTGCAGGGAGGGGCAGGCACCCTAGGAATCTATGCCAGTAGGAGGGCCTCCACTGGGCTTGTCTCCAAGTTGACATCCACTTTGCAGCTCTGCCATGATCTCTCCCAGCAGATCCATTCTGGGGAAAGGGGGCAGGGGTAGGCCTAGGATTACCTCATGGACGGGAGAGGGGCCCTGGGTCCCCCCCTCATCCCAGACCCCAATTCTCACTTCTGGAGGCTGGAGAAGAGATCTTCTCCCATTGGCTCAGTGCTGGCTGCCTGCAGGACAAAAAAGCTGGAGCTGCCACTAGGTGGCCATGGAGCTTGCATGGGTCTGGAAGGGCAGGAGGGAGCATGGGATGGCCTTGGGGTCCATAGCTTTGCCTGACCTTGTGGCCTTCCCTGCCGGCAGGCTCTCAGGGTGTGGGAAGCCTCTCTGTGGGTCAGCTGGCAATGGGCTCATGGGCCTGGGGGTCTAGCGGAACAGCTCCATGCTGGGGCTGCAGCAGCCTCTGAAGGGCTGGCATCTTCACAGAAAACTTAAAACTGCTCCACACGACCCTGTCCCCAGCTAGAAAGCTGAGTCCTGACGGCTCTGGGCTCTGGGGGAAGTAGGGTTGGTCAGGACTCACAGGTCAGTGTCCTGATATCACTGGTCAGAGAAGTGGTAGCTAGGGGTCTCCTGGAGGGCAGGGATGGCAGGGCCACAGGTTGGCAATGGGCTCTGGTGGTGTTCATACTGTTGATGTGGGCTCCAGGCAGCAGAACAGGCTGACCCTGGCGCTGGGGCTGTGGCTAGAGCCAGGGCTGTGACTACAGCTGCTGCTTAGAGTCAAGCTGCTGCTTGAGTACGAGGCTGCACCCCTCTGGACCCCACTGTGGCCTGTGACCTCCGGAGTCTCCAGGGCCTGCAGAGAACAAAGTCAGAGAGTTGGCATGGCTTGGTCAGTGCCTTACGTCTCCCTTGGTCTCCCACATCTCCTGAAGCTCCTACCTCGGATGGCATGGGGCTTGGCTGCACAGACCCAGGCATGATCGTGGCTCTGCGAGCTACTTCATAGTACATTTGCTCTGGGAGACAGACCGAGATGCGGTTGGAATGAGGAGGCACAGCCCAGCTGGGCCCGCCACCCACCGTCATCCCTCCTTGCCCTCTAACCTGGTGGGGACCGCTGGGGTACAGGGGTTAGTGTAGTCCACTTCATTGGGGAACTGACCTCAGGATCTGAGTCCTAGGGAAAGGAGGCTGGGTGTGGGGACACGGACCCTGCCTGGGGCTTCATGGCTACCCTCACCCCCGCTGAGCCTGTACCTGGGCCACGGCCTCCCGCAGCAGGTATCGAGTACTCTGCAGGCTGCCCCAGCGGTCGGTAGGCCCTAGACCAAGCCCAGCCCGAACCAGGGCCTGGTAGGGGCTCGGCACCAAGGGATCCAGGGCTGGGCTCTCACCTGCCTCCAGCTTGGCCTTCACCTCAAGCCCCTCTCTCCCAGCCCAGGGCAGCTCTCCTGTGAGGAAGCACCATCAGAAGATCCCAGCCAGTGGGCTGCCTCACTAAGGTAGGGTATAACATCACTCACTGACCAGTGAAGACTTCCTGAGCCAGGATGCAGAAGCTGTAGAGGTCTGAGGTGGCGGCAGGCATGTCACCGTGGATTAGCTCAAGAGGCAGCCATGGGTACAGTTCAGGTGGTGGGGGCAGCCCTGTACCTGGACCTCCCCAGGGGTAGCCCTGCTGCAGCCTGTGGAGCCCAATGAACTTGGTAAACTGGTGGCTGCTGGAAGGGACATGGGACAGGTGTATAGGACAAGAACTCACCTGGGCCTCAGGCAAGGCTGGTTCAGTGGGCGCCCATGCTCTAGGTTGCCCACCTTAGCCAGGCCAGGCCGTACCAGCTGCACAGCATGGGAGCTGAGACCACCGTGGGCCCGGCAGCGGGCCTGTAGGAACAGCAGGGCCTCCAGCACCTGTAGCAGCATGTGGCCAGGCAGCAGGCCTGGCACAGTTCTGGGGCCCTTCTCCCTCCATTTCGGTTGGTGTAGCACCACATGCAGGGAGCCCAGCCACACAGGCTCGAAGAGGAGACACAGCCCTGACAGGTCTGCTGAGGGGCTCAGTGCCATCAGCAGCAGCAGGTTGGGGTGATGCAGTGTGCTGGGAGGAGAAGAATTGCCACTCACAGGTAGGCCCTGATCTGCATAGGGTGAGGGCTGTTCTTTTTCTGTTTGGTTTGGTTTTGCTTTTGCTTTTGCTTTTTGAGACAGGAAGGATCTCATGATGTCATTCAGGCTGGTCTTGAACTCACTATGGAGCCCCAGGCTGGCCTCAGCTCAACAGTGATCCTCCTGCCTCAGCTTCACAAGTGCTGAGATTACAGGCATGCACCACCATGCCTGGCCTCATGAGAGGTGTTCTTGGACTAGGACCAGCCACCATGTACCAGGAGCAGACCATCTGTAGCAGGCACCAGACAGAGGAAAAACTGAGACCCTGGTCACACAGCCCAGTAGTGACAGAGCTAGCGCCCAGCCCGTACCCTGTCCATGACAGCCCTCCCATCTCCACCTTCTCTCTGGGGCCTACAGGACACAGCACAGAGAAGTGTGTATCCATTTTCCAGTGGAAAGGGGAACTCCAGCTGGAGACTTCATGCTAGGTGCAGAGGTGATGTGGATTCTGTCACCATGGTAATTGCCACACTTCCTGGTCTTTGGTTTATGAACCGCTTGAGTCCAGCGAGCCGGCGGAGAGGAGTGTGGGGAGAAGGCTGGGCAGTGGGGCTGAGACAGACTACCTGCAGTGCTGAAGGTCAGCCAGTAGCATGTCAGGGTGGGCTCCAGGGGCTTTCAGCTGCCGCATGGTCACAGGGTTGCCCCTCCACAGGAGGCTGGAGAATAGGGAGCAGCAGAGGGGGCAGGTCTGAGACGCAGGGATGAGAGTTCCTTGTCAGGGGGAGCAGGAGAGGAGGTCTGCAAGGGCGTGGGAAAGGAGGTCTCACTTGACCATGAGGGTATGGGAGCTGTTCTCATAGGTGCGGTCAGGTTCACCCTGGGCTGGCAGCAGCTCCTTGGGGTCCGCCAAGGGTATGCCTGTTACCAGCCCCAGTGGCTGCAGGCTGCTCATCTGCAGATGGGGAACAGGACCATGAGGCAGGAAGAACACAAGGGTGGTTTCCCCGCTCCTTCAACCTTTCCCACTTACCTGGCCAAATCCCAAGGTTGGGGTTCGGGGAGATCTCCCAATCTGCTCTGGCCTCAGCATCCTGGGGTAAAAGGGGCTGAGGGAAAGTCTGGAGTACCTGGGTGTGGTGGATGGGCAGCCCCAGGGTGTGGACCATTACCTTTCTGACTGCATCAGTGAGGACAGGGAGCCACAAGGGCCGTGCCCAGAGCTGGTATACAATGGGCCCAGGGCTGCAATGGGTGCTAACTCCCCACCACACAGTAGTGCTGACATGTGGATGCGGCACAGCTGCAACAGCTCCACTACCTGCACAGGAGCATGGGGGTGAGGCTGGGTACCGGTGCTGCTCTGATGCCCCCACCTGCACCTGGGCCACTGCTCACCTCCCAGCTCTGCCTGGCACCGCCCTGCACAGCCCAGTCTCGTGGTGTGCGACCTTGCTGGTCATGCAGACGCAGGTCACCCCCTGCCTGCAGCAGCTGCAGCATGACCTGGCTGCAGCCTGAGAAGGCAGCCGCATGCACTGGTGTGCTGCCATCAAGGCAGCGGCTAGAGCAGAACAAGGAGGATGGGAATGGATTAGGAAAGGAGCAGCAAGGGAGCATGGGATGTGGGAAGGTAGAGTGCATGCGGAGGTAGAGTCGTGTGAGGGCATGGGGGACCTTTGTGGGAATGAGACGATCACTATGAGCATGGGAGGCACCCAGAGAATGAGAAGTCCCTCGGGGACAAGAGGGACCGAGAAGGTCACAGTAGCTGGAACAGTTATGAGGGAAAAAGGCCTTGGGGAAGAAATCAGGTCTCAGGCTCAGGGCCCTGGGAGCATGGGGCACTGTGGCCTGTCCACTCACTGGTTAGGGTTGGCACCAAAGACCAGCAAGAGCCGCACGGCACAGCTGTGGCCCAGCAGAGCTGAGAGGAAAAGCCCCGTCTGCCCAGCAGAGTTCTCGCCATCAATCTGGACAACTGAGGGGTGGCAAGGATTAGGACTGTCCCTACCCCAAACTTCTGGGGCAGAAGTCCTGGGGGCCACTTGGCAAACATTCTTGCCAATTCCCAGGCTCCACTGTCCTTCTGTGATTAAGTCACCGCATACCACAGATTCTATCTCTGTGTCATGGAACTCCCAACCTCCAGCTGCTGAGGGAGGCTTCAGCACAGTGCTCCAGGAATTACCATGAAGTTCACAAAGTTGGAACAAGGAGTTGGATGTTTGCCTGCCATGCAAACATCCAACCTCTTCCCAGAGGTACCAAAATCACACAAAGCCACCCAGACAAGGAAGAAGAGGACTTCATGGAGCCTTGTGCACTGGGACAGCAGACTCTACCCAGCCTTAACTTGCTGTGGCACATATAGGTCCAGTATGACTGTCTTCCAGATCTTCAAGAAAAGCCAACTCTGGATTTCATCAGGAAATCTCTCATTTACTTTGAACTCGGCATCTAAGAGCTAACCCACGCCAACCTCCTCTGTACTTCATCTCCATGTCTGTGCCAATCCTTTCCCCACATCATCTGGATCAGGATCCCTGCCCCAGCCACTCATCCTCTGCCCCAAGCCCTGTATCATTGCCCTTATCATTCCCCAGTTCTTCCTCCAGGCTCTGCCCCAGGAAGGGCAAATGTACTGTGTCCTTGCCCTTGCACTCCCATGTTCTTGGTAGACATGGCTAGGAATCACGCACTTGGTCCAAGCCACCTTAGGCATTATCGCAGAATCCATCCAAATGTGGACCTAGCAGAACCTCTGAGTACCACATTCACTACATCACATTTTACTCAGTAGCCCACGAGGGCATCCTAACTGGTTTCCCATGCTCATCATGCATTACAAATGCAAGTCCTTAAAATACAAGTGTCATATCAAGGATGAGATAATCTTATACAAATTGTTCCAAAACAAGAAAGATAGAAAAAAGAGGCAAATCTCATTTTATGAGGGCAATATGACCTTAATTCCAGAACCAGATATAAGTTTCCAGGGGGACGAACATTTGGGAAAATGGCAGAGTGGTAAGCAGCAGATAAACAGCTTATCTGAGAGTTGCCATCCAGACACTGGAATATAGCAATGCAAGGAAGAGAAAAAGGAAGGAAGTGGGCCCCTGGACCCAGAAAGGATCTGAAGCAAGAATTGAAGCCCACAAGAAGAGTAAAGAGAGAAACTTCAATGCAGAGGAAGGAGGCCAGCGGGCGGCACCTTCCGCCTGAGTTGGGACTGACCGCACAGGAGGAGCAGTTCAAACCTGCAGATACGCAGTGACTGCTGGCAACAGTAGAGGCCTCTGTGAAGAGACACAGCAGTGGACATGGAGGACTGCACTAGCTAGTGCTGAGTGCCGTGGGACCAGATGTCCCACAGGAGAGGGTGACTGGCCTGGTGCCATCTAGCTGAGGGGCCAACTGAGCTCAGAACTCAGAACACCTGCTGGGTCCATCTAACAGCTCCCACCTGAGTTCAAGCCCAGAGAAGGTGCACTGATGGCTGCAGGCTGCATGGGTCTTATTGCAGCCTCATGGCCAGAAATCAGCCTGAACTTCAGGGGAAATAAAGGTGCAGGTTTGCTGAGATTATCCACTATCCCACTATAAAGCCACTGCTGGCTTGCTGGGATATCAACATGGATCTGGATTCTGCCTCTGCATGTGGCCTACCAGTGAGAGCAGAGACAAACACTGAAGTGGACATTTCTCTCTCTTTCTTTTTTTCCTCCTTCACTGTTTGACCTTGTTTTTATATGAGTGTGAACTTGGTTTCTAGTTTCTTTGTGGTTGTTGTTCTGTTCTGTTCTTTTCTTCCTTACATTTCTTCCTTCTCTTTCCCTCCTGTCTTCTGCACCAGTTTTCCAAAACCTGTGTGCTCCTCCTTTGCCCTCCAGTCTTCTAATCTCTTCCTCTTCTTCTATTTCTTTATTTTTTCCTCCTAACCCCTTTAAAATTTTCTCACCTGAGGGTAAAATTGGCATATTGAGGGCTTATTTACTGCATACAATATTGTGGTTTGTTTTACATTGTGTTATATAGCCACAAATCTATTTTTTGTGTGTGTGTGTGTGTCTTTTTGAGACAGTCTCACTATGCAGTTCAGGCTAGCCTTGAGCTCACTTTGTAGCCCAGGCTGGCCTCAAACTCACAATGATCCTCCTGCCTCAGCCTCCTGAGTGCTGGGATTACAGATGTGTGGCACCACACCCAGCCATAACCACTAGTTCATACAGTTAAATGTGGCAAATTAATGGTTACCTCACATTGTCATTTTCTAGGCTGCATTTGATGCTGTTGTTATTGCTGATTGTACCACTTTAGCCAAAGTGACATAATTGTTTTAACCAGCTCTTCCTCCTGCTATACCAAGACTAAAATGACCTAAAAGTCATAGGAAATATTGTGGGCCAGTGCCAAAGAACCAGGGGCTGAGCCAAGCAGGGAGCAACTTCTCATCTCCAACAAACTGAAGAGGTAGGATCTTGCAAACCCCCCAAATCAGCTATACCTAAAAGACACTTCTGAGTAGTAGTCATTTCCTAAGGGTTCTAAATACTAGCAATAAAGCAACTCACCATATGCAATTTACAGCATCAATGCAGGAATTAAACTTAAAAAAAAAAAAGAAAAGTAAATGACAAGACACTTAAACAAGATGCAAGCCCAGACTTCTAGCTCACCAAAGACAAAAACAGGAGGCAATGAGGTTGGATACTCTGAAAGCCACCTAGCTGGCCTCTCTGAAGTGGTAACAACAAAGCAAATGAATGCAGTTCTAGAAAAAAGTCAAATCAGAAATCATTTCTCAGATAATTACAGAGATGGTGAACACAATGAAAAACACACTTAGTGACTCTAGAGCAGATATAGGTTAAAAAATAGAAGAATTAGGAAAATTATGGAAACCATGAATGTCCAGCATAAGGAAGAAATGGAATCCATGAAACAGATTCAAGCAGATATCCAGGAGACTAAAAATTACATTGTGAGTATCCACAGCAGAATGAGGCAATGTGAGGACAGACTCTCAGATGTAGAAGAAAGACTTGTGGTTAGTGATCATGAAAAAAAAAGATTTCTTAAAAATAGCAAGGGACAATGAGAAATTAATCTAGCAGCTGCTAGATGATGTGAGGAAGAATAACATAAGATTGATTAGAGTCAATGAAAAAGCAGGACATAAAAAACCTGTTCACAGACATCATAGCAGGAAACTTCCTTGGCAGGAAAAAATAATTTGACATAGTTAAGTGAGGCATATAGAACTACAATTAGCCATGATTAAAAAAAAATCTACACCAAGGCATATCATAGTCAAGATTCTAGAAATTCAACACAAGAACAGAATATTAAAAGCTGTTAGAGAATCAACTATAAAAGAAAATCAACTATAAAGGAAAGCCCATCAGAATCACAGTTGACTTCTCAGTACAAACCCTGAAGTCTAGCAGAGGTTGGAGCGAAGTATTTCAAGTCCTAAAAGAAAACAATCTCCAACGCAGGTTGATGTACCCCTTAAAAGTATCTTTCAAAATTGATGGAGAAATATGATGCTTCCATGACAAAGAACACTTGAGAAAATTCATGAACATCAAACCATCACTCCAAAATGTTCTGAAGGACATTCTAGAAAGAGATAACAAGGACCACAACTCAGTGAACCCCAATGGCATGAATCCATCAGGCAAGGCAAATGATTAAACAGAGGGAGGAAAAGGAGCCAACAATAGGAAAATAACACGACAAGGATAAATCAATACATATCAGCAGGCTGGGGATTTAGCTCAGCAGCACAGTGCCTGCCTGGCAAGCACAAGGTCATGAGTTTGATTCCTGATACCAGAAAACAAAACAAAACAAAACAAAACAAAAAAAAACAATATATCAGTTATGACCATCAGACAGGATTAATTAGGAAGCAAGATCCAACAACATGCTGCATAAAGAAACACACTTAATTAAAAAAGAAATTCATAAACTGAATGTCAAAGGATGGCAAACAATACTCCATGCAACAGGAACTTAGAAGAAAGCAGGGGTAGCTATTCTATTTGCAGACAAAGTGAATTTTAAGCCAAGACTGATTAAGAGACATGAAAAAGGTCATTACATCCATGTAAAGGGTACAATTCAAGAGGAAGTGATAACAATCATAAATAAATATATGCAATAAATACCAATGCACACAACCATATAAAACAATACAAAGGATATGAAAAATCAAATAAGTACTATACAATTGCATTGGAGGATCTCAATATCCCATGGTCACAAATAGATCAACTATCCAAAAATCAACAATGAGGAAAGTAGGATGAGCTCAAGTAGACAACTTGATGTTTAACCTCAAACTTTTAGAAAAAGCAGAGGCCATGACCAAAGCTTGTACAAGGCAGGAAATTAATGCAATAGAGACTAAGAAAAACAATACAAAGAATCAATCAATGAATTGAAGAGTTGGTTCTTTGAGAGATTAAATAAAATCAACAAACTCTTAGCTAAACTTATCAAAAAAAGGAAAGAAAATATTCAAATCCAAGCAATTAGGAATGAAAAGGGTGAAATCACAATGGACCCTGCAGAAATCCAGATCATCTATACCTACTTTGAGATTGAAGTCCTTGCATTTCAATAAGATAGAAAACGCAGAAGAAATGAACAGATATTGAGATACATATGAATTACCAAAACTGGATCAAGAAATAAAAATTCTAAGTAAACCAATATTAATCAATGAAATTGAAGATCTAATGAAAAACCTACTAACAAGGAAAAACCCAGGCCCTGACAGATTCACTGCTGAATTCTACAAGAAATTTAGAGAAGCTTAATACCAGTACATACCAAACTCTTTAATGAAATTGAAAGGAAGCAAGACTTCCAAATTTGTTCCTGGAAGCAAGCATTACCCTGCTACCAAAAGCGGAAAAGGACCCAACTAAGAAAGAAAACTATAGGCCAATCTCCCTAAAGAACATAGATGCAAAAATTCTCAGTAAGGTACTAGCAAACTGAATGCAGCAAATCATCAAGAAGATTATATACCATGACCAAGTAGGATTCATCCCAGGGATGCAGGAATGGTTCAACATACATAAGTCAATAAATGTAATCTTAACAGAGCCAAGAACAAAAATCACGAGATCATCTCAATAGATGCAGAAAAAGCTTTTGACAAAGCCCAGCACCTGTTCATGATAAAACCCTACAGAAAACTGGAGTAGATGGTCTTTATCTCAATGTGATAAAAGCCATCTCTGACAAACCAACAGCCGACAACATCATACTAAAAGGACAAAAAAATGAAGGCTTTCACTCTAAAATCAGGACCAAGGCAAGAATGTCCACTATTGCCATTGTTATTTAACACCGTTCTGGAAACTTTAGGCAGAGCAATTATACAAGAGAAAGAAATAAAAGGAATAATGATAGAAAAGGAAGAAGTTAAATTACCATTATTCACAGATGACATGTTAGTCTACATAGAAGACTCCAAAGACTCCACTACAAGACATCTAGATTTAATAAGCAAATTCAGTAGTGTAGCTACTCTACTCAACACTCAAAAATCAATAGTCTTCCTGTACATGAATAATAAACTTACTGAGAAAGAAATTAGGGAAACAACACCTTTCACAATAGCATCTAAAAAAATGAAATACCTAGGAATCAATGTAATGAAGGAAGTAAAAGAGCTCTACATTGAAAACTAGAGTACTCTGAAATGGTACAAAAAACTGCAGGGCCACCTTTAGATAAGGAATCAGTTTCTGAGAATCTTGCCTTCAATTTACCTTGTTCTATAGGGATAATTGAGGGAAGTGCACATTCATCCAGTACCTCAGATATGGATTTCACAGGTGCTTCCAGTCCAAAAGAAACTACCTTGTTTAATATTTCCAGGCATTACGGCTTATCTGACTCCAGAAAAAAAACTCACACAGATGGACATTGGCCTGCTGTGATACCACATTTTCATAAAAGAAGAGGTCATCTTCTGAGAGACAAACACTCCAGACTCAGAACTCAAAAAGTGTAAAAGACAATGAAGGCCCAGAAGACTATTAATGTGAAGAAGTCAACACAGAGGTTCTGAATAACTTAGAAGATTAAGAGTTACAATTCAGTCACCTGAAAAACTCCACTACTAGTTATTTAGTGCTGCAGGTGGAATAGCATGTGGAGAAGAGGACTGAGTTTTGGCTTGTCATGTGACACTTGATGGAAAGGTGCAGTATCTTTCCATCAATGGGAAGGAGCAACTGCATCCTGAATATAGACTGAATATTATATATTATGTTCACTGCACTCTTTTTCTGTAGGTACAGTTTAAATCCCTAAAGGAATCTGGCTTTTACTACCTTTCTTATCAAAAACAAAATATTCACAAAAGGCGATGATACTAGCCTTAACATGTACTTGTCAATGTTATGGATATTGAAAAAAAGGTATCTTCTTTTTTTTTTTTTTTTTTTTTTTTTTTTTTTTTTTTTTTT